AGGTCAATACTCCCGTTTTACTGTCTTCGTGTGTGTGTGATTTTAGGTATCCTCGTAATAACCTCATATTATACAATTATTATCACTCCTGAATATTTATATTGTGGTATAAGATCATGTTGTACTGTAGCTTGATCTATGACAAAAAAAAAAAACACAAAACATATATTAAGTAATGAAGTGGTAGCAAAGACTATACTATGCAGCTGTTTAGCTATCTAATTAAGATGCAATTTAGACAAAACACGTACAGCTGCAATGTTTTACATTGTTTTGCTATTCCATGACAAACGAATATTCAGTTAAATCTGTAATGAACAAGAAACATAGAAGACATTCATATATTCATATTTGTATTTACTTTATAGCCATTGATGACTGTGACCCCAACCCTTGTCAGAATGGTGGAACATGTGTGGATGGGTTGGCCTCGTACACATGTAACTGCGGCGAGTTATTTGAAGGAGTTAATTGTGAAATAGGTAAGAGTTTAAATCCGAACAATAACCATTACGATGCCAATGGAAATCCATTAAAGTATTGATAAATTGGAGATTACAATAAGTTGGAATAATGTATTGCTGCAATATAATTGGCGACCCGCTCCTCTAGGATTGCCCTTAAAATCACGTTTGTGTGTGTGATTTCCAGTGTCTTCACGTATTAATTCTTTTTGTAATTGTTTTTGGTTTGGCCGATTTCGCTAGAGCTTGGCACTCTAGTTAGTAGGTAAAATCTGAAAAAAAAAATACTATTTGTTTTTATGTCCTTTTTTAAACCGAGAAATTTTACCCAAAATTTGAAGTAACTTTTCACCAGTAACGACTTTTAAACTCATCCGTGATTTTTGTGGCTTGGGCGATTTTGTTCATACTTGACAAGCAGATCCTACCGTCACTAATTGGAAAAAATCCTGCCCCCCCCCGCTGCCATGGCAACGGCCAAAAAACGGATTTTTGAATATTTCGCCCGAAATTTATTACCTCCTATCAGTCTTGCAATAGCTGTGTTTAAAAAAGCATAAACAACGCAAGTGAATTTTGAAATAACTGTAAATGCTGCGTTCAATCAAAGAATCTGAAAAATACAATCGCAAAACAGTCGGAAATAATGATTATAACAACAGAATACGTGCTAGTAATAAAATGAAGTGACTTCTGAAGACTGAATGCATTTTGCGAACTTCGTATACGGGGCCGACTTTAGTTATAAACGTTATAGACGTTATCTTCACGTTCATGTCCTACCATGGCAACAGCCGAAAATATGTTGTTTGTTATTTGAGCGGAGCGGATCGCCAACCAGACTACCGGCATGTTATTAGTATACCCGACCTTCACGTTGGAATCTCTATATACCGTGATACCTTGGCGATAATTTGTTTTTGCGAGTAGACCATGTCATGCTACATTTACACCAATATATTATAGTTTACTGCAAGGTATTGTGTTGGAATCCTTGTGTTCATTTACAGATAGACCACGGTACATCGCAATTGATGAAGCGGGAGTTTCTTGGACGGACGCAAGAGATGGTTGTATCAGCATTTCAGCTCACTTGGCAAAAGTTCATTCTGCAAAACAACATTGTGATATTTGTAATTTTCTCCGAGAAAGCAGGGAACTAACAGGGATCATCGGTAAGTTAGCACTGTGGATGACTATTGACATTATGCACATGAGCATCTAGTAACTCTATTCATCGTGTATCATATCGTTTACCTAAGTACTGCGGTTATAACCTAGCTCAGTGACATTGGTATTGACCTGAAAAATACGCGAATGAGATGAAATAGCTCCTTTCTAAAGTTGAATTTTCCTGGAAGTTGATGCACAACTTTATTGCGATGTTGCATTTCGACACTGTAAATTGTTTAATATTATAGTTGTGAATATTTGAATAATAAAACCTCCTGAATCATTTCTTGATTGAACGAGATTACTAAGAGCCATGTCATAACTATGCAAACTAAACGTCGTTATACGACGTGAACACATCCGGTAATGCTCCTTACTTGTGCATTGTAGGACTACATACTGTCACTGACTCCGTGTTTTTCAATGTGGATTTTTTTAATGAATTTAAATAACACTAATATTGTCTTTGTATTATATGACAGGAGATCGTTGGTTTGGACTCAATGCTTTAGAAACTGTTGGGTCATTTGTATATGCTGATGGTGAAGCAATGACTTATTCTCATTGGCATAACAACCAGCCCACTAATGGCGCAAATGATAATTGCGTAATACTGAAGTAAGCTTAATATGTCTCTTCAGAAATATCATTAATTTAGACTTTGTATTTGTATTTCACCGATATGTACCCGAAATAATTGTACATCTTTCGAAATGATATCATAAACAAACCAAAGAAAAGGGTCACATTGACATGTAAAAATTGTTTAATAGTAATACAAATTACATTTAGATTTAGAAAAAATATCACACGAATATGGTTAATTGTAGTGTTGTCGCTTTTCAATATGTTAGGAGTCTCGCATGTAATCATAGTAATTCGAATTTTTGTTTCAGATAGCCGTTAGGATTTGCTACACAGCTTATACACGTGTGACACGAATGTCATTCTTTCTACTTATGATAATTTTATTATATTCATTTCAGATCCAATTGGGGTTTTGATTGGAATGATATAGGCTGTGATCATGAGGTAGTTGGATATATTTGTGAATATGACTGTAAGTATATTGAAACATAAAGTATATTTTTGGAGACTATGTTTCTAT